TACTTTTATCTCAGGGATAATGATGCTGACTTATTGCCCAAACTGAAGTAGAATAGTGTTGGGATTTGATAGGAGGAGTAACTTACAGTTTAAAGCATGGTGTTCTGACGACAAGGCGTGTATGAACATACTGTTCGTTTAATTGAAATCTTTGCCATTCAAAACATTTTTTTTCATGAAGGCAACTACACAGAGTTTGTTATCGTTTCTTTAGCAAGTTTGACACCTCACAGTTTTCTCTTAACAGTGAACATGCATTTAAGAACAATATAAATACTTTTAACGTTTCATTACGATATGTTTGGGTTTACGAATGTAAAGAGTGCCGGCATATAAACTTATGCCTTTTTGACCATTGGTATCATTAAATCCACATACAAATTTTCCCAACTGAATGATCTTTGATCGAAAAATCATTGTCGGAAAAATACTTCCATGTCTAATGAAAGCCAGATCAGATATTTTGTGTTAGCTCTGACACCCTACAACGTTTTTATGACCACTACTGAACACACTTGAATGCCCAAAGCTTAAAAATTGAAATCGAGTCAAAGACTCAGTGCTTCGACCACTATGCTTTGTCGCTTCTAAAGATACTGTTATGAAAGTTGAATGGCCCGTTAGTTTTCAAGAACACCAACAAACGCTCCTATAGACTGGATTAATCATTGATTTCGAACAGCACTCATAAATCGTCCGCAAATTTTCTTGTATTTCTAACAGTAAATCTTTAAGCTTTCGTTATCGATTGGTCCATTGTTACTTGTTGAGAAACTCGATATTTTTCTAAGGCTTTATCTGAATCAGTCAAACTAGAACAATTATTGAAATCAGTATTTCAAACCTCAGACACTAGGTACTCAATTGTGTACCGATTTCCTCCATATATATTCATGCATGTGTGTTTTCTTTGTAATCATCAGTGTTCGAAGAAGGAAATGAATTTATTCGGTGTTCGGAATCTTTCCAATTAGTGTGAACTAGAGGTAAAATATTCCCACTGATTATGAGAATTTGTACTGTTGGTCGTTGACTTAATAAATCGAATAGTTAAAGAATCGACTATTGATATTTTTGTACATGAATCGGCTATTCATTCGTCGTTTATCCACAATATGTCATGTTATTTTCAAAACCAAAGTTGATAACCATATCGATGTGCTGTTGGTGACATGGCATTCCTTTGCTCCTAGTATGCTAAACGTGAACCAACTAAATGATCACTATACTATAATGTATGTCGTTGGTCATCATAAGTAATACGCAGAGCAGTGACTTGATCGACTAGAGTACGAATGATAGATGAAATTACCATTTATTTGTGTATTTGAGCGCACATTACTACAAATGCGTGCGAAAATACACATGCACTACAAATAGTCTTTTCTCTGTGTAGACTTGGATACTGTCCGGGTGATCAAACTGGAGTGCTTGGACTTTTCAGAAAGCCATTCCTAGAGCCATCATTCTGGGTGTCCGATCGACAAGGTAGTGGAGCAACGTCAAGAGATGCAGTTACACTGTAGCCGGTGACCAACAATAGTTTCATACACCATTTTCTCCCTCAAAATCACACAGCTCGTGTACACCGTTGGTTTGGAGTCACGGTTTTCCAACTCCCTTAGGTGAATCCTCTGTACACCGAACATTCGCTTCTCGCACTCTTGATTTCGTAAACAACACCCCCACCATGAGAAGGTAGAAAACATGACTTCCCTGGTAGTGGCCTATATGCACGCGACCACATGACAGCGTTTCTCGGAGAGCAAACTCCCCCCACTTTCGGTCGAACTAGGACATCTCATTTCTCTAAACGCCTTCGAAATGTAATCACATCGTTCAGAGTATTTATATGACCTAGTCAATAAGTCATATCTGTTGACTATAAATGCTTATTCATCTGATATTATTGATGCGTTCACATAGTAAGTTACCGAATAATCGATACGAAAACTAATGAGTTAAAATCCACCAATCTGACAGTAAAGAAATCACACAAAAGTCGGTATATTCATACATTGTTTTGATTTATTTCTGGGCTCAAACAAACCCGAACTAGCAGTCTATGTCCTAACTACAAATTGTCGGATTCTATTTTTTCAGTATCAAGCATCAGTCAGATAGGCGTTCCTCAGTCATAACAGCTCAAACAGAACAATCCGAATTCGATTTCCAATCTTCGGAACACAAGTCTCAATCGTATCCCATCGACAAAGGTGTAAGCAGTCGAGTATTATCATTGGTTCCTACATAGTAGGTATACCTATTCATTGATTCGCATAATTATTTATTTACATCACTCGAAATTTATCGACCGCCTGCATGTGGACAATAAATAAACATTTTGATTACTCAAATAGTATTGTAATATATTTCTAAGTCCGGTATTTTGAAAATGCGGCTTATTTACTCATATATTAAATGTAAGCACTTGTGTACTGGCCTTAGCTATACTTTTATGTCAGGGATAATGATGCTGACTTATTGCCCAAACTGAAGTAGAATAGTGTTGGGATTTGATAGGAGGAGTAACTTACAGTTTAAAGCATGGTGTTCTGACGACAAGGCGTGTATGAACATACTGTTCGTTTAATTGAAATCTTTGCCATTCAAAACATTTTTTTTCATGAAGGCAACTACACAGAGTTTGTTATCGTTTCTTTAGCAAGTTTGACACCTCACAGTTTTCTCTTAACAGTGAACATGCATTTAAGAACATATAAATACTTTTAACGTTCATTACGATATGTTTGGTTTACGAATGTAAAGAGTGCCGGCATATAAACTTATGCCTTTTTTGACCATTGGATATCATTAAATCCACATACAAATTTTCCCAACTGAATGATCTTTGATCGAAAAATCATTGTCGGAAAATAACTTCCATGTCTAATGAAAGCCAGATCAGAAGCAGGTCAATGGAACGATAATATGTTCAGTCAGAGATCGAAATCATCAAGATTATAGAGAAAGTTTACATACCTCTAAATATAATACAGCAGATAGAAATTGAATACATTAACCAGAATGTTTTACAAATTATCCATTGAATACAAATGCATGCATACTAGGGAAAGAATCACAACAAATGAATATGAGGACCACTTCGCGTTATTCAGACAAAGAATGGTCTCCCGTCCACTTAAGTTGCTCAAGGTTGTGTGAATGACGAGTGATTGTAAGCAGAGAGTGATTTTGCACTTATGCATTAAAAAATATGTATTGTCTTTACTGAATGTTAAATAGGTAAACGATAAGTTAATTACACTTAATTATAACTATAAAATATTATATGAGTAGAATGTATAATGGCTAATAATACAATAAATGCGCATTTTTGACTAGTATATGTAAATGGTTGGAAGTCACCTGAATAAACAAAGATGCAGAAAGTAATTAAGTAACAAAATAAAGTATATTAGTTTTGAAGAGATCTGAAACCTTGAAGGTAAGCAATCCATCGATCAGCTGTAGTGTTCCATTGAATAGCATGTGTTGGATCTAAATCACTCAAAGTTTGAAGTTGTTTAATGTGCAGGGAATGATAACTCCAACGAGCTCGATTGGGTCCAGTGAATAATTGAAATGCATTTTTAGCTAATTTAGATTCGATTTTTTTCACCGGTCTATGATTATAGTCTGTTGAAAGATGACGAAGATCATAGAAACTACCACTACCAGAATCAAATAATGGGAGTAACCTGGATAAACTTGTCAATCCTGTATCTAGATGAATTTGAGCTTCTGAAAGATAAGATGAAGCCGAAGGATCTGGAGAGTTCACCAATAACTACAATAAGAGAAAACTAGTCGAGTTAATTAATTATGGTGTGAGAATCACGTTTATACGTGAAAAACCGTTGGGAAAAAGTCAAATCAAAAACAGAATTCATTTGAATAACAGAAACAGATTACCGATTTTTCAAACAGTAGAGTTCCTTAATGTAAATAATGCGTTTGCGAAATCTCAGTGAGTGAAGTCCTTTCATCGTAGCTATAATAAACAAATAGGCTTCTTGATCAATTAAATGTTTACGCTGGTGGAAATGCGTAGGATGCAGAATAACGTAATTGTTCATATGATATGCAATTCAAGTCTTAAGGTGCGTCTAATATATTGAATATGCTGTGAACAAGGTAAAAAGTCAATGAGTATGATTAGTGCTCACTATAAACGGTCCATCTTTAAAAGCAATGATACAGACATATTATTCATAGGTGCACTCTAATAAGTAACATCTCTCCTTCTAACTCACTTTCATGAACATATAAATGTTCACTGGGACAGATGGTCGTTAATATTAAAATGTATACCGCACTAACACAAGTATCATAGGTTCATGATTTTAAAGTAGGAAGGATATTTATACAATGTTAGTTAAACTAATCTATCATCTTAACTGGTATCTATCAGCTACATTTGATTGACATTGGTTTTACTTAGGAGTAAAACTATTTCTTTATATGATAAAAGCTTTCAATTAATCAGTATTCAGATACTTAGCTGCAAAGTGAGTAATGTTAATGAAATTAATTTAATTAAGAATACCATTATTCTACGCTTTGGAGATTTATACTAATGCATCTTTAAAGACATGTCACAGTGCTAAAATTCAGGTCCATTGAGCAACTATCGATCTGAATCTTATGCAGGAAATCTCAGGAGAACATTCTTCAACCAGTGCAATTTCTAATGGTCGTAGACAGGGTAACATTTTCACACTTCTATACAATTACGACATATCACAAGAGTTTAAAACAATTAGTTTTACCTAAGAAGGAGAAAAAGGGTAAACAACTATGAAATCTGTTATATTCTTCAAAAAAAAAAAACTAAATCATCTGAGTTACAAGCAGAATGAACTAAGTATGATCAGCGTATTGTTCAAATGAAACTAAAACACTCCTGAAACAATGTGACAGTGAACCAGTAGTTAATTTACTTGTTTCACAGAGCAGTTCAATTTTACTAAATAGAATATATTCTCAAACATTCCTCGTGTGATGAAACAGTGAGTGAATCATAATAGAAAAGTAAACATAGGAAAGACAGTTTTTTTTTTTAAAAAAAAGCAGAAAAGTTAAGACTGAAAATTATCAAGATAATAACGGGTTTCAAAGTTCAAATATAAAGTGAAGATAAATTCATTTGTATTATGGTTATTGATTTAGAGTAATGTAATCTAACGTCATCAACACTTGGTTGTGACTATTTAACAAAATATAACCATGAAATTTGTACTGCCCAACAGTTAATAACTTCACAGAATGGAAGTAACTGATTTATCACTTACAAGACCATGAGCTCGCTTTGAACCATACAGATTTTAAGCGAGGGCTAGTGATACTACTACCAGGTTTCCCGAACCGAATTAACTGCAGTAAGGTTTAAATCTGCAACCTATCGATCGGGTTTCAAAGATTTTATATAGACTGATTTCATGACCATCAAATAAATAATTCAATGCTCCATTATTATCATGATCATGATAGTTTTAATAAAATAAAAAATCTTACACAATTAGACTTACTTTGATATAATCATACAAACCGATAAGTGAATAAATAAACCCATTCAATACGTGAATAGGAGGATCGAATGGATACTCTTCAAACCATACTAAATCGGACTGATCCAAAAAATACGAACGAATGCCTCCACGTTTTATATTTACGTTAAACAAATCTAAAGCACGATGGCAAGCTTCCAAATATAATCGATTCCCAGTGTAATTATAAGCTCTAACTAGAAGCGAAATTGCTTGACCTGAAATAAATATGGAATTAATGAAATGAATCTGTTAGTCACTTAAGAAAGAGAAAACTCTATCATCAATGTAAAAATGGTTTAATTAAGCTTAAGTTTAATGATTTAAACGATATGAACTAGATACAATTAAACCCTGCTGTTTGTTCCTGATTTGTGTGATTCATTGTCTGTGATTAATGTTTTTCAATAATTTGGGAATCTGTTCAATGGCTGAAAGCGTAAAGTGTTAGCCAACGATTTTCTTTTTCATTGACAATAATTCATCATCGTTATTTATGAATTTTCCTAAAAAAAAACTATGTACCTCTGTCACACACTACAACAAGTGAGTATCAATAAACAATTAGCACTAACGTGTAAGCTTCTTTGATAATTATAATTTCCTTTTTAAAAGAAAACATCTATTAGCCGGTCACAAGAACAAAACAATTGATGTAATATTACGGATCAAATTCCAGCTTGATTCATCAAATAGTTATCGTTGAAGCTGTATTGAATGAAATGCGTTTAAATGCATTATTAACATTCATTTTGTGGTAGAATAATTCCTTTAGTGCCGCTCAAATAAATGCATCTAAAAATACTACATTACTACTTAAAATCTTTAAAAAAAAATTAACTAATAGATTAAATGATTTACAATTACCTTGACCCATAGCGGAATACCATCCAGGTTTCAAGGCTTTTCTACCATACGATATACGTCGAACATTTACAGGCCAACCACCAGTCCTATTATCTTGATGCTTAATAAACCAATTAGCAGCAGACATGAAACGTATTTCATGAAATAACCTCTCTGACAATTTTATTTTATTTACAGATGGTAATAATGATTGTGAATTGGTTAATTTACCGAGATATAATTTTTCTATAGTGATATCATTGGTACTAAATCGAGGATTAATAAAGAAATTCATTTTCAACACGTGTACATAGCTGAAAATAGAAAGTAATGGAAAAACCGTTGATAATAAAAATAATATAAATACAGTAGATCAATGAGTAAAAAAGTTAAGATTTTTCTGACGTTTAGTGACTCAATGCGAGCCACTTCTTCAGAAAATGACTGAAAAAAAACCGTCGAAATAAATAAAAACTCAGTTATTGCAATAACCAATTTATGGAAAAATTCTATAATATACTTCTGGAGTTAAAATTCAAAACCAATGTATTAGTTCACATCACGAAATGACCTTAGACAATCATTGAATGCTAGGAAGCATTGGATAACTGTTTCATCCTACGATGGGACTTCTTAGTAGAGTGAATCAACGCGGATACACTGCTTTAAAAAACAAGTTATTCGGTTCGAATCCCAACACTAATCTACTACAGCTTGGGGAACAAGTAAGCATCATTATCCCTGATATAAAAGTAAGGTTCAGTTAGTCAATCAGCGACAACGTAGAACTTCGTACGTACGAACAACATTTCAAGTTGCCGGAAGGAGGCGATTGCCAATTTAAATCATTGAGCAGTAGGAGTAGTAGAAGAATGAGCAGTCATCGTAAAGATTAAGGTTAGGAGATTTTATTCAAGGACTACAATCCAGTCAATTAAATTTAAAAGAAAAAGGAAAAAAGGTCATGAAGAATTAAGATTATAAATTGAGTACAAAAAAAATTGAAGCATGTGCCATTGTAAATGATTTAGAGCCTTGACATTCAGGGTCTTTAACCATCGAATTCTATCATCTCGCTGTGACCCCAACCACGGAGTAAACACATACCAAAATGGCTAAGTCAGGTTGTCAATGACTTCATGGATTTGTGCCATGTTAAAGC